GTAGTCCTGAGAAGGACTGTTGTCGGTGGTGGTGACTGACGTTTGGACAACCTGTGCCGAAGCCATCCTCAGAGTTTCTCCGTAAGGGAGACAAAATTTCTGATTCAGTTTATTTTTTGAAATAAATCAGCAGGTTACTTGATATCGTGCCCAAACTGAAGGAAAAGTCCTAATTCCTTTCTTATGTCTTCTTTCAGAAGCAGTGACGTTCAAGCAGATCCAGTACCATTTTTTCGCAGAATCAGAATTCCAAGAATCCCGCGACCGAGATTTCCAAGAATTCCACGTCCAAGATTTCCAAGGATCCCGCGACCGAGATTTCCAAGAATCCCGCGACCGAGATTTCCGAGAATTCCGCGACCGAGATTTCCAAGAATCCCGCGACCGAGATTTCCAAGAATCCCGCGACCGAGATTTCCAAGAATCCCGCGACCGAGACTTCCAAGAATCCCGAGGTTCCGGATTGGGAAAAAGTAAAGGGACCTACCCGCTGACTTAGTCATTTAGAAACCGGAGGCTATTAGAAATTTTGCCATCTCTCTTTAATTTTAACTCAAATTGTGTTAGCAAGAAGTTGTAATTGGTAAAGTTATTGATCAAGTCAAGTAACTTAACTGAGGGCCAGGGCCCCATTTAAACTAGCTATTAGCTGAACTGGGCTACCCTGTCTAAATATTCGAAATCCAATTACATATAGCTGATAATAAAGCACACTTAAATGGATGTTATTTGATGCACATTGTTTAAGGGTAGAATTTGCAGTCCCCAACTATATCACAGCAGAAACATCGTTCACATACTGAACTCAGAATTGAACAAGTTTTAATATAGACCTCACGAGTCACTAAGATAAGCTGTGTGCGCGAGCGTATGCACTTATGCGCTTGTTACGTGAGCGTGTATCAAGGCCATGAGCATGTTGCAAGGCCAGCACAAGCAAGCCGATCCAAAAAAAAATAAAATAAGGTAAAACAACGATACCATGAGATTTAGGTGTTTTTCAAGATTTGTGGGGTCAGGCTAGCAAAACCACTCACGCGACAATTCTCAAACATGATTCTTGACCATTAAAGGATAAAAAATAGCACTCTTCAATGTCGAGGACAAGGAAAATAGGGAAGACAATCAGCATTAGTTTTTACGTGAAGAATTTCAGCACAAACTTCCCTCTGGTTACATAGTCCAATTCGCGCCGATGCGGTTGTTTTCCACACATTAACGGCTTCATTTTCCATTCAATATTGTACCGAACTTGGAAACTAAAACAATATTACCGCTAACACACATGTACATGTGACCAGAACCTTCGTGCCGGGCCGTAATCTACTGACGAAAATGGCACATATCTTGGCTCTCCCTCTTGAGAACCAATGTTGCGGAAGTAACAAATTGCTGTATATTTATTATCTATATTAAAACTTTCTTTCGGGAGGCACCCTCGCAACAACAAAAGGTGTCCTCTTCCCGAGACGATAGGTTCCTTTAATGGAAATTATATAAAGGTAATGGGAACATTTGTACATTATTGCCAAAATTTATTTCTCTAGACTGGAGGTGGAAAAGAGATATCCACCAAAGAAAGATATCTTGCAACCGCAGACCCTTCAATATCACGTTACCAGCAGTAAAGCGAGGGCTGCGAGGGCTACACTTTAGAAAC